TTTCGTCAAAAAGTTAACGGGTGCAACTTTCATCGATACCCATTTACAATGGAGTTTTGAATATCTAACCAAAACGTCGAACGTATCTGTTCGAGTTTTCCTCTCTTTTCTGAGTTTTTCTCTTTTTTTCTCTTTTTTCTTTTTTTTTTTTTGCTCTTTCGTTTCGACGGTTTGGCGGAAAGTTTACAATTTCATCGAGCCGTTTAAAGGATTAAAAGGCATCGTAGAAGGGGGAAGGGAGGGAAGGAAGGGAAGAAATAAAAATAAAAATAAAAATAGGACGGCGAAAATGTACGAGGCGCGAGACATGGACACGCGCGTTAGGCGGACAAATCGTAAATGGCGTGGATATCTCTCCCAGGGTGCCAATCGGGAGAATTCCAGCCCGAGTCGGATCACGTGGATCGATGTCACGAGCTTTGTTACAACAAGTCCGATGGACAATTATCGTCACACGTGTCCTCTTGTGACGTGCGAACGAGGAGGAGGGCCGACAACGGCCGACCTGAATTAGGAACGATACTGCCCACTTTATTTCTATCCTTCCTTTTTGCCGTCGATCTTTTGCCTTCCCTTTTTTCCTCCCCCGAATGGAGATTCGTTTTATCAAACTGGCTGCCAAATTTGATTTTATTTTTTATTTTTTCTTCGTAATGTGGCGTGTTACTTTTTAATTGTACGATTTTTGAGAAATTTGAACTTGATATTAATGATAAATCGAAGAAATTAGATGTGCAGCTTAAGTTTCAAAGTAAAATTGTCAAAAAAGATAAAAACGAATACGATGAAAAATTTCTTGATTAAACAGAAGTATCTTAGAACTTATACCTATCCTTTAAGCATTCTTCTAAAAGAAATATTGGAAAAAATTCAGAAATCGATTATATCCGTCAAGAAAAAACTACCCCTTTTGAAAAATATTCCAAAAAAATAGGAGAAATTCCTAGGATGGAATATCGCGGATCTCTCGCTCCCGTATCATAATCGCAAAGATCTCGAAAGATCTCGTTCCACGGTTGCAATAATCGGTTGCGAAACGGCCGCAAAGGCTGGATTTCAGGAAGTCGGAAGGCGAGAGCAGCGCAACGGGAAGAGTGACGATAACGGGGTGGCAACAAGTGCTTTTAACGCCCTAACGGTTTCCCTCCAGGCGCCTTCAGGGGTGAGGACGGTTCCCGATGCGTTATTCTCAAAGGTCTCGGTTGCTGCCCTTTAGGCGAGGGGAAGCGGTTATGGAGCTAAAAGGGGAGTTACAGGATGCCACGTCGCGGCATCCCGAATGAATTCTTAAACCGGGCCGATGCGATGGAATGCGAGGCAGCAGCCTCATTTCCCGAGCCATCCTCTACGCCTTTTCCTTCCATTGCATCTTTCCACCGCCATCCCTTTAGCTTTAGCTTCCTTCCCTCTTCGAATCTCATCTTTCTTGGAAAGTATTTGGAAAAAGTTTGACGCGATTGATGGCCATCTCATGTTTTCTGATATTGAATATTCTTCGTATTCTTCGTGTTTGATAAATGAGTGCACTTTTTTTTTTTTTTTTTTTTTTT